CGGGTGTGTGGTGGGCTGTGGGGCCCTCGGCCGCCGGTTGCCTGGCCAGGCTGGCGCACGGGACCGTGCAGGCCGGCACGCCACCCGTCGCCAGCGGCGCCTGCAGCAGCCCCTGCTCCCACTCCCTGCACTGCCCTCCCCACGCCAGCCCCCGCCTCCCTGCTGCAGCAGTGCTGCGCCGGGCGCAGGCGGCAGCGCAGGCGCACCCATCATGCCTTCGCCCAGGCTGATGCGCAGAGGCTCGTCGCCGCCCGTGTCGCCGCCAATGGGCTTGGGTAGCCGCGGGCCGGTGGCCACCATAGAGGTCACCTGCACCACACACACGCCCTGCGGTCGGCGCCGCCCGTCCCAGCGGGCCAAACCCTGGGCAGCCGGGGTGGCCGGCGGGCGCGCGCGTGGTGGCAGGCGGCCGTGCAAGGCGCGCTGCCGCGGCGAGCAGGCGGCGCGGGCGGACGCCGCCGGGCCTCACCTTGCGGGTGGCCTGGCTAGGGGCGGCGCTGGCATTGCGCCGGTTCTGCAGCAGCACGGGAGGGTGGGTTTCAGCGGAATGGGGCCCATCACGAGGGGCGATGGCGTGCTGGGAGGCACGATCTTGGGGTGGCGTCCCCCGGGCCGTCCAGGCGCCCACCTGTCGCTTGTTAGTGCTGCTGCTGCCTGCCACCACGCTGCGGCCGCACAAGCTCGCTGCCTGGCTCTGCATGGCGCCACCTCTCCTCGCTGGTGCCCAAACAGCGAGGCGGGGGTGCACAGAATCCAAGTGTGAGTGTGTGGGAGGAGATGGGTCCCGCTGGGGAGCGAATGCAGTGTGTTGTTCACTGCCTGCCAGTGGATATGGAGATGACCCAGCACGCAGCATGAGCCCATCCTTGTTGGACACATTGGCCTTGCAGGCCGGCAGGCCCCAGGGAGGCTGCCAATCGATTGCACAGGACCCCAGCCCCTGCACGTAGCCCCCCGGCCAGAGCCCAAGTTTGCCCCCTCGTCCCCCCGCCGCGATGGCCGCCCTGGACGAGTTTTTCAAGCGGCTGCAGCAGCTGAGGGAATATGACAGCGTGCAGGAGGTGCTGGCTGACCCCTTTGCTCGGATGCTGGCGGCCGGCGTACTGAGTGTCGTGATGCTGCTGCTCGTCTTCTTGCAACCCTACCCGGAGGACGAGAAGAAGGGTGAGCCCCCGAGCCGCCGCCAGTGTGACCTGATCACACGTTGCCGCCGCTGTTGCCGCCGCCTGCCGCCGCCGCTGTGCCCCGCATTCTCTCCCTGCCGGCTTGCCTGCCCCGCATCATGCTGTTCCGTCTCCCCAGCAGCTTGCATCCCCAACTGTCGATCATCGCTACCCGCCCGCAAGGTTCACCTTCGCCTGCACCGATCCGCACCCCTCCTCACCCGCCTGCCGCACCCCTGCCTGCCGCCGACGTTCCGTCGCAGGCGCCCAGAAGCGCGAGCCGCGGGGCTACACGCGGGCCGAGGTGGCGCGGCACAAGGCGGAGGACGACCTGTGGATCATTATCCGCCACAAGGACACCAACAAGCTACAGGTGGGGCGGGCGGCGGCGGGTGGGGCGTGAGGGCGCGCGCCGGGGTGGCTGCCTTTGTCTTTGTGCTGCCTGTTGCTGGAGCTTGAAGGGCTGCCTGCGCGGGGTACGAGGGCCGGCTGCGTGGAGCGACGGGCCGTCCCGCTGGTCTCTGCAGCGGGCATCACGTGGCCCCGCGCCGCTCGCCCTGCCCGCCGCCGCCGCCTGTCGCCACCCTGCCATCATGTGGTCACGTCGCCGTCCCCTCCTCCCACCTCCCTGCCCCGCCACTCCCCGGCCGAGCAGGTGTACGACGTGACCACCTACGTGGAGCACCACCCCGGCGGCGACGCCATCTTTGCGCACGCCGGCGGCGACTGCACCGAGGGCTTCCGC